GGAGGGTGCAAGGGGGTATGCAAGAGGTACTGTATGGGTCGGGGAGGGTCGTGAGTGTGAGGGGTGCATGAGAGGTGCTGCATAGGTTGGGGAGGGTGCAAGGGGGTATGCAAGAGGTACTGTATGGGTCAGGGAGGGTCGTGAGTGTGAGGGGTGCATGAGAGGTGCTGCATAGGTTGGGGAGGGTGCAAGGGGGTATGCAAGAGGTACTGTATGGGTCAGGGAGGGTCGTGAGGGTGTAAAGGGGTGCATGAGAGGTGCTGGGTGGGTTGGCGAGGGTCAAGGAAGGTGTGTGGGGGTGCACAAGAGGTACCATGTGGGTCAGGTAGGGTGCATGAGGGTGTGGCATGGGTCAGGGAGGGTGCGCAGGGGTGTGGAGCAGGTTGTGTGAGTGGCTGGCGCAGCGTGAGCACCGAAGGGCTGGAGGAGGATGTACGGGTGGGTGAGTCTTACCTCAGTGACTTGCAATCTTCCTTGCTGGCTTCCCCTTTGACTTTCTGGGGAAGCCAGCAAGGAAGGTTGCAAATGGCAATCATGTGATCTCAGGGTGCTTAGTAACCAGTCGTAAGTGTGAATGGACTGCCAAACACCCAGATCACGATCATGTGACCATGAGAGTGCTGGGAGGACCCCATCGTAACCACCATTCATTCAGTGCCATCATGACTTTCAACGGTCATTGAACGAATGGTCGTAAGTCAAGGACTACCTGTATGGAAAAAGATTTGGAAAAATATTCATCTGACATGATTATGGAGAACAGCATGAACAAGAATTTATCACTGAGTATACAAAAAAAAAAATTGGGTGAGGCTCTAAAAATTAAAAAGGAAATAAAAATGCCAGTTCAAGATAGTAATTGGAATAATTTCTTCCTGCTAGACTTACAAACGAGGCTTGTTAAAGTTTTGAAGGAATTCAAGACAAGGGATAGCGATCATTGAAATGGATTAAAAGAGCAAGATTGTTTTATGTAAAAAGAAGGACTGTAAAGTTGGCTTATTTGATCAGGGTTAAAATGGTACATGTTACTCTGGGAGTTCTTTCTGGATTTGCTGACGTCTGGATTAGAAAAGACATTGTTTATGGAATGAGTTTTATATTTGTTAACAAATGTGATTATTTTAGGGCTGTTTGGACTTTGGACTGTTTGGACTTTGGACTTTTCCAATCCAGGACACCTGGATTGGAAAAGACATTGTTTATTGGATATGCCTATCGTTAAGAGTTGAGTTATGGGATGAAGTGTTTTATATTTGTTAAATAGGGGGAGGTGAACAGATAGTGAAATTGTTCCCATGATGAGGGTGGGAAGTTGCTTTCTTAGTTTCTTTTTCTTTTCTCTAATTTTTTTTTTTTTGCTTTCTTGCACCTTTTATTCTATTTTTTTTCTTTTTAGTTTGTATTATCTTTTATTATTGTACTTAAAATGTTTAATAAAAATATTATTAAAAAAATAACACTGATTGTGTATTCTCTCAAGAAGACAGAATAGCAAACAGCTATTACATGTAAATTACAGCAAGGATTACATGATCAGATCAACATAGTAGTAACAAAGATTTATGAAGTTTTAAACTATTAATTTAAAATTCAGCTACAATCTCCTCATGGAAATGCTCAGTGCTAAAGAATAGTATGGCTGCTAAAGAAATGTATCTTTTGTCTTTTAAAATAGTATTCTTGGTATAAGAAGAATTATCTCCATGCTCTTTAGTGCTCGCTGGCACCTTGTCTGCTAAGACATGTAGGGCTGTCAACTGTGCTCACAAATGGCAGAAAAATTCATTTTCTCTAAAGTCTTGTTCACAGCTTTAGCAAGCAAACAAGAAATGCTGAGATGGTCTGGTGAGGCAGAGAAGGAAATCACTATTTACACACCTTTCTGAAATGTGTGGCATCTTCTGCAACTTAGAAGAAGGAAATAGCTTAGCTTGGAATATTGCCAGTGGTAGAAACAGGGAGCTTTCCTCTTGGCAGATCAGAGATATTCAATCTGCTGTACTGTGAAATAAAAAGCCCCTAAAGCACATTTTCTTAAGAATTTACACCCACCTTTCCTA